TGCCCCACCCCGATGCTGTAGACTTTTGATTCTATTTCAACCCCCCCCAAGCCTGAAGAGGTTGTACAATCCATGATGTGGGGGAGTTTGATCCATCAAGAGTCTACGGTCCTCCGTCCCTTTATCTCTGGGTCCTCCTCTTCCCTCAGGTCCTCCCTTCATGTCCCTGTCCGTCCGCCTTGGCCCGGGCTTCTTCTGCCTCTTGGCGCTTTTGCGCAGCCCTTCGTTCCAGCAACTCCTCCGGTCGCGCGACCGGGATACCAACGATTCAGGGCGACAGGACCAAGGAGGACCGGAGGGTCCCCGGTGCGGGTGTCCCTTGACCAACGAAAGAAGCCGAAGCACTGCGAATGGTCCAACGAAAACCCTATGTATCTGTTAGGTTTGGAGACCCATGTGCTTGAGGAAGATGTGTCAACCCCACGCTTTCCCACGTTTCCAAAACCAACACTTCAGGATGCCCCCCCCGCCAGATGTTGCCATTGGCTCACTCAAGCTTGAAGAAAAGGCAAGGAAGTGTCCGTTCGTCCGTTCCACAAACTCAGTTCGATATACATTGACTAGGGGGGGTCATCTACTGGGCTCACCCAGGCTCACCGGTGAGGGGGGAAATGCTTGCTTCCTCCGCTCTCCGCTCTCCCCATCTGCACGACCCCTCCGGTCGTCGCAGAGCTGTGGCTCGGACCGGAGCCGAGCTCGTCCTCTTCGATCTCGTCCGGGCGCACGATATCACTCGTGTGGCGGATCAGCTCCGGCGCACCCGTCCTCAGGATCGAGTGGTGGTTCTGAGGATCGTCTGAGGATCGATGGTCCTTCGAATGCGAACGTAGCGATGGCAGCGATGGCCTCAGCTTCTAGCTTCTATAGCTTCTAGCATAGGTAGTTTCTTGCTACTAGCAGGTCGAGTCTATACTTCCCAAGATTTTGGGATGGAAGAGACATTAGGCCAAATTCAAAGGGGGTTGTTGAGCTTTGTGACGGGAAGACGCGCCTCGGATGATTCAAACCCTTGCAGGCTATAGGAAAACCTTTCTTGGACTCCACTTTCCTGCCTGAAACAGAATAATCCGAGATCGACGTCGAACGGGACCCCTTCAGCATTCGAGGCTCGTGGGGTTCGCGCTCTTCGGCTGCGCCACCTGCTCGTCCTTCCCCTTGGACTGCGCGGCCGCGTTTCACGAGGAACGAGCGGCGTCTTTGGGTTGGGTTGCCGACCCGGCCGTCGGTGCAGTCAATTCGGTGACCGTCAGTGTTGCTTTGTTCGTGTGTCTTGGGCTTGGAAGTTGGAAGCAGTCAGTGGATATATAGCTACACAATGCTATACAAATCTTCCATCCGTTTAGAGGACGTTTGAGTGGGATCTGGCTGCAACATCGCGACCGAACAGATTCAGCGTCAAGCAATCGAAGAAACTAGCAATCGAAGAATCTAGCTGGCAAACGTGGGTCAAGGTGCTTAATTTACCTGATACCACTATATGAGACTCCCATTGGGATGTCAACAACCATTGGTCCCTCATTTCCTTGGTTTAATGGTCGAAGAACCATTGTTCTGTTTTTTCATGGATCTCAGACATGTTTAGCCTACAAAAATCAGGTCAACCATTTTTGTTCCATGGTCTTTGAAGGCTAGGGTATAGGACACCGGCCAGTGGTTTAGACCCCTTTTGAACTCAGTCTTTGGTGGCTTCAAGGCAAACTCCGCCATCACTTGCGACGTGCGCCATCCATCACTTGGGCTTTATATCCTAGGGCTCCAACCACCTCCTGAGAAGATAGTTGGGGTGGTCTAACCACCGAACCTGAGGAGATGGGACAGGAGCCCTAGGGTTTAGTCTTTCAGAGCAACAGCCGGGAATAGATTCTGAATGAAGGTCAAACCTCCAAAGACTGTAGGTTTCCATGAATGAACCAGACATCTGCAGCCGGCACGAAAAAAAACACATGACACCATTCTGGTACCCCCAGAAATGTCTTGTATTATCATTATGGCTAAAAAATGCTGACACCTTATGACTGTATAATACAGTGGTTTCGTAGATGGCACAATCCAAAAGGAGCTTTAGATGGGCGGCTCTCATCTAAGGGACATCATGGGGTCTGTGCCATCTACGCTGAATCCACTGTATACATCTGCTGTATACCTTAATCTAGGAACGACACTCCCCGACAGCTCCAGGTGCGAGGCACGGCGACCGGCGTGACCGGCTCGGCGGGCTCGGCGCTGGCGTGGCTGTCGCGCCGGTCGGCCATGAGGACGGTCGCATCCGCCGCCAGGGCCGCTTTGGGGACGAAGCCGATCCCTGCGAGTCTGGGTGAGGCTGAGGCTGGGGCCAGGGCGCGGAGACTGGTTTGGGAGTCAGGTTGGATGGGTGATTGAAGAAGGAAAACATGTGTTTTTCGCACAAAGGGATGGTAGTTCACAGGACTTGATGGACATGCAACCGCATGCGACATGTTGACTCATGGTGGTTGTGGCTCCAAAATGTGGATTCTTCAAACATGGGACATGACCACGAGGATCTACCACCAATTTCAAAAGCATCGGCGGCTGAACATCAGGAATCAACAATCCCTTGGTTCGGCCATCAATTTTCAGATTCTTCTCATTCCAAGTCCTCCGTGTGCCGATGGTAATCAATTGTGGATGAGATGAACCTCTCACCTATTCTAGACTCTTGATAAATGGAATCCCGTACCAGAATGGTTTACATCTCTCCATATGCATGGTTTATCGTTTTATTTTGTCCAATCAACAGTCCACACATGTCCACACTATATAGTCGTGCTTTTAAAACCAAAGAACATCCTCAAACAATCATAAGCACCACCACCATCCACCACCTGTTTACAGTCCAAAGACCTCGCTTGCTTCACTTCCGGATTTCAGAATTCGAAGAAGAGAACACGTCCAAGTCGATCCCACGGAAAACCACGGAAAGCCGCGTTTTCTGTGACACTCAAGTTGATGTAGGTTGATGTCCAAAACCCAAGTTTGTGTCGTGATCGTTGAAGCCACGTCGTGTGACTCACACGTTTGTACAACTGGCCGTAATGGCACCAGGAGACCACTTATGGCACCAGGAGACCACTTTTCCCTATGAGACGAGGCTGGGTCGGCTGGGTCGGCTGGGTCGGCGTGGGGAAACCGTAAACCCGTGATGATCTGCCCTTCGATCACCCCCATGAAGTCCGGCATCCGCCTAGCAAGGCATCCACTTGCAGCTTGCAGAAGGCAAAGAACTCCGAATAATCGGCGCAGTGATTCCCAGTGGTGTCCACCGCTTCGATCCTTTTGCCGTTGCTGGCGGTGACTTTGAGCCTTTTTTTAGATTGGCTAACCAGATTTTGGGGGGGACAAAACCAAAACATCCAGGGGTGAAGTCATCGCCGTCTATGCCATGAACCTCTTTTGCAAACTTGCAATTAGGCTTCCCGGTCGAGTTCCACTACCAGCGGCCACTCTGATGCAGGTTGAGTGAAGGTTCATTGATCTATTTCTGGTGGAAAAAGGCACCGCCGGGACCGCACTGGAAAAATGGTCTGCTCTGCTCTTCCGTCAGGAAGAAGGCCAAATCCTCCCCTGCCAGGTGCTTTTTCCACTCCACAAAAAAGACAAGAAAGAAAAAACCTTTCGCCACCAACCGCCCTTTCCGCACCATGCCCGGCTCTCTCTATCCCTTTCGCCTTTCTTCGGTGCCCAGGTGCCAATTCGCCACCTCTTCCGCATCAAAGGCGAAGCCCAACTCTCTGAGCGCCCTGCAGAGCTCCATTGGCTCCAACAAGCCGGACTGGTTCACGTCGAAGCCTCGGACCGTCCGTCCGGTTGGTCTGCCGCCGGCGGACCCGCGGGTCTGCGGACGTGTGACACACGCCCGAGGTCCACGGAGAATCTGTGGTGGTGAAACAGCGGCCGGAAAACGGGCGCGGGGTTACTGTCGACTGCAGGTTCGGGGTGGAGGTTTCTGAGAATGGGTCAGTATGATCCCCCAAATCAATTGCCATATATTATGAAAAAGCAGGTCAATCGCGGCAGGTCAAGCAAGCGCTGCACCACTGGACGCCCAGTGGCGTTGGAAGGCCATTTGCACCGACAGCCCTTGGCCATAAATCGCCGCGTGTAGCCGCACGGCGCGCACACGCGCCAGCACTTGCCTCGCAGTTGGCTGCTGGGAGACCGCGCCGCCCGCTGCACCGGTGTCTTTTGAGACATAAGTTCAAGGGTCCATGTCGGCAGGGAAGGAGTGCACAAGTGTTCGTGGTTCTTCAGAGAGCCTCCCAAGGGTCATGAAAAGGAACCCTGAAAGGGTCACTTTGGAGAAGCTGGTTCAGGATTGGAAGAACCCCGCTTTCAGTGGCTACACGTCCATCTCCACCACACAGAACATTTGGCAACCAAGCTGTTGGAATTTGGTCTACCCGACAAGTGCAGATTCCCAAAAACTCCCTCAACATGATGGGTGATTCCTCATGGAGGTCGACACATCTTGCCTTTTAACTCTTCAGAAAACAGCCTCTCAGAACCTCACAGCTACCAAAAACCTATCCAACAAAATCAACAGCACGATCTTTCTGGGATCCTTGAGCACCAACAACCAACAGGGGTTGAAGGACCCTAATATATAGACTATCCCATATGTACCCCGGTAATTATAGTGTCCTATAACACTTGACTTCTCTTGGAACATAAATTGGATTCCTCCAGACGGCTGAACATTGCTCCGTCCACGGTGCTCGAACTCCAACCAGGGCCGCAAAACCTGGCGATGCGGCTGACCGACTTGGCTGACTGATGGCGGTGACTGTAAGTGGAAAATGACCGAGTAAAACGAACAATAGGCATGCAAATGAATAGAGTATATTATGGAGTTGCTATATTTAATATACAGTATATATATACTCCTGAATTTAAAACTCTATTTATATAACAGTACAGTTGTTTAGCCTTCCTGAAAACTGGCACGAATTGACTCCTGACAGATCGGTTTTCCTCCAATTGCCCGTCCTGGCTGCCAGACCCTTTCAGGTTTTGCCCAAGTGGACAACATAGAATTTCCAGGAATTGTGGTCTGCGGAATGCAGCATAAAGGTCCCTGAGTCTTTTCGGGGAGCTCCGGGCTGCCCGGCTGCCCTTCCTCAAACAGTGTATAGTTCTCAACCGTACTAGATCAATAGCCTCATCCTCGGGTCAAGTGGTACTATATAAATGAATCGATTGTCTGGCCGCTTGAAATGTTGCTTTTCGCTCTCTCATCCAATCTGCAACAAGAAGTTAACCATCCCCAGTGACTTCTGGTTGCCCCAAGACATGCAATCCCCAAAGATGGAAAGCTGCGCAATGTACGGAGCAGAAAGTCATCAAAGTCCACCAGCAAGCTCTGACATTTGCCTCACTGGGCGCGCTTGTTTGCCTTTCAAAAGCCGTGCCATGGATCGGGCGAAAAGAGATGCTTTCATCAAGCAAAATCAACAAACAAGGGCCCTTGAGGCACCTGTGTGAGAAAGCTTGGTGAATTTGCGGATGTGATAGGAACAAAAACATTCATGTCTGAGAGTCTGAGATATAAATAAACTGAATCGGAGTCTCAAAATCGGTTACTGTCATTCTGTGCATGCCATGCTTTTCATCGTTGACCACATCACCGGACCACAGGAACTCCTCCATCTTCACAGCTTGCTTGAGGAGCGGAATGTTGAAGAAGCTGTCCAGCTGGGCCTTGGTGACGAAGAAGACGGATGACGAAACATTTGAGTGCAAGCGTGCAACCATTTCGCCAAGTGATGCATCACAGCCAGGATATTGGAATCCTCGCAATTCTGCTTTGACCATTTCAATCCGCTTGTCAGTGGGCGCTAGCAGCAAATTTGCAGAAATCAACAACAATCTCGCCAAGCCCAAGCCTACAGCCAGTGCAAGGCCGTCCTTGAGCAGGAAGCTGATTGCCAAGAATTCAAGGAGAACGCAAGCATACATACCAATGGTGCAAATCAATGCCAAGTTGCGGCCATCATCGTTGAATGGCTGGTACCAAAGCCTACAAAGATCTTGGTGCACCCAGGCGTACAGAAATACTTTGATTCGCTTTGCATGCCTGCGCAGCCCCAGCTGTGCCATTGCTGCAGCCGGCCCGATTGACTGAAAGGACACAACAATGATGGAGGCCGCAGGGCCCAAGAGCAAGGCCTTCCAGCTTTTGATGAAAGTTTGCACTTTGCAGCCAACTTCAGCCAAATGCTCCATTTTGCCTCTATTTCATTGATCTTGACCGGGTGCACCATACAGGGGTCTTTCATCAACAACTCTCCATAAGCCACGGGCAACAGTGTGATGACGGCAAACATCACTGAGACCAACAAGAAAAGCCTGTAGCACGGCAACGTATGATCTTTGAACACCCATCTGAAATCGCTGTCCAGGTAAGTGGAAATGAACTGTGCAGCTAAGCCATTGAACATCAGATGGTGAGCATAGCCCACAGCCACGGCTTTCTCCAACAATTCAGGATCAGTGTCTAGTGCTTCCATCATCATCGCTCTCATGTGCGACCCTCTCCCATCCATCGCACTTGTAGAAGTTCCGGGATGCTGTAGAAGCAGCACTCGAAGCTGAGTCTGACATAGCTAGCAGTATCAAACTGCCACAAACGATTCAATGTTTTCTGCTTGGGCCACGTCCATACCATCAGCATCAAGAACCTATAAATTTGTAGGTTCCATCTGAAGACTTCGTGTTTCCACAGGTTGTTCCTAAAGAGTTTGTCTTTCCTGGAAAAATATATAATGCTCATATTTTCCCAAGAACCTCACAATTCCTCATGTTTGGCACCACCTTTGGCGTTGATTCACCTCTTCCAACAACCCCCGCTCTCGGTGTATGTAGGTGAGGTGCTGGCCTTGGCCGTGATTGAGGGGATCAAGTGCTCTTCAGCACCATATACAAATCGATAAACATGGACTGGCACCACTTGTAAACCCCTTGAAGGACAAAGCTTGTTCCCAAAAGGCTCACGCATGTAGTCTGTAGTGGTTTGATATTCTAACCCAACACAAGCAACACAAGAGAATTATCTTCCAGCGGCAGGGCCATAATTGGCCACATCATGGTACCATTGACAAAGTCTTTCCATTGGCCAAACCCGGCTAGTATATGCTAGTATGCCCAGTTTGAGTCAGCTCTTCGACCGGTCAAGGTTGCCAAAGCATGCCAAGTCGACTCAAAAAGCTGCTTTGTATAGAGGAGTTCCTGCAAGAAATTCCATGATCTAAACTCCTGACTCTCCCCAACTCCTGCCCAACTCGAACAATCCTCAAACAGCCTGGCCTCGTCCCACCGCCCAAAGACCCACCCGACACCCCCGCGAAACGCCTCGGCCACCGGCTGCTGCTCCCAACCCCCGGAGGCGCCGCGGCGGCGGCAGCCGCCCAAGCCCTCGTAGAAGCGGCGACGCTCGAAGGGCCTATGGACACGCGAAGGGCGGGCGGTGCACCAAAAAGGTGAGGTGGGGTGGGAAATTGCATGTTCCTCTACAAAATTCCACTTCACCATGATTCTTTCAGGAAGTGGTCGAGTTCTTTGAGGTCGAGTTCGGGTGGATGTAAGAACTTGAGAGACATATTGAGAGACAGCTGCTGATGTTCGATGATATTCGGGACTTGGTGTCTCAGAGCTGTTTGTTTCTTTCGCACGTCACATCAAAAAAATAGCCTCACGTCACGAGTTCGCTCGGACGAGAAAATCAGACCCCGGACGATTGGAATGGATCTTTGCATCCAACCCTTGTGCCGGCCGAATGGAGGTTGAAACAGCCAGTGACGTTAATAGGGTCAAGTGCCACTGTGCATGCTGTGCGCATGCGTTTCTCCTGTTTCCAAGGGTTCCAAGGCCGCTTTGACTTCCAGTATTGCCCTTCTGATTCGCAAGATGGTCTTCTTCACTTGCCAAATCTAACCCAGTCAGTTGACTTTTGGACTGCTACTATAAGTCTTGGGATAACACAGTCAGTAGGTCTCTTGCAGGGTTTGCACCCAGGCCCAGCAGTGAACGATTGGTGGCCCTGCTTCCGTGACCTACTGTATTTCTGTTAAATTGTGCACAAAGAACACTCAAACATGCCTCTGGACAAAAGGAGCTCATTTTTTTCACAAGTTGACAAAGCAAAATTATATAACTGGTACTAAATAGGATAGTACTATATATAATATTACTTCATCAATCATGTACAGGTGTGCGGCTCTGCATGAAGAGCAGCTCGCGCAAAAGCTCTCCACTCTCACCAACAGAGCGCTCGCGCTGGCGCGACACGTCGCGTCGCAGAGCCTGTTGCGTTGCAACGCACGCAGCAGGACAGAGATCTCTGGCGGGCGGAAGAAGGATTGGCCTTGGCAACGGCTGGACTCCAGTCCTCCAGAAACGGAGCCCTACCTTGCAGAGTCAAAACTGGCCGAAGGGACGAAAGACAAGAAGTGCCAACCCCCCCAATCTCAACTTGATTGGATCTTCCTCGTCCGTAAAAATTAATCTGTTAGAAAAGACAGCCACCACCCCCACTGCTGGACTAGACTATTATTCCTCTGATCATACCGCTCCGCTGGATGTGCCGCCGGCAGCCGACGTCGGAGAAGTGCAGCCACAGGGACCATCCAAGAATCGTGCCAACTGGTGCATCATGCGACACTGGAACGCCGGGCCGGGCTGGAAGCCCTTGCTGCCATCCAGCACCGCGTTCCCTGCGTGGGCCAGTGCTTTTTCGTGGTCGTGCGAGTCGTTTTCAGTGGTTTGGGGGTGGCGGCTCGGGCGGCTCGGCGGTCGTGGGAGGATCTTTGCTTCTTGACATTCAGAAGTTTATCTATGGCATGCCACAATATGCACTCTGTACACACCAAAAAGCAGCCAAAATCAATGTATACCGTATACCTCTTGGTTCTTGAATGATCTCAGCCTTGCAACTCGGGCTGAGCCTTGCACCAAATCCAAGGCCCTCCTACTTTTCCCACTCCTCAACTTCAGCACTCTCATCCTCATGAACGCATCCCTATGCACATAAAGCACCCCCAGCCGAAACGTCAAAACACGTTCCATGTTGGGCCTGCAAAGACGCAACGCAATGCCAGCGCGGCGCTAGGTGTCTGTTTGAGAATCGGCTCCTTCTCCTGCAGGTCGGACCACGCATGACATGGCATGACATGGCATGCCATGGCATGCCATGGCACGGCCATGGTTGGCCACACGGTTTGGAGCGTCTCCTTGCAAAGAACCTCCAACTTGCTGGGTAGAGCGATAACAACTGGGAGTTCGTTCCGAAAGTCGACACTAACCGCTTAGATAGTTTATGACATGACAGCCCATGACCTCTGATCACCGATCTTTCCATCTGATCATGAGGACTTCCTACTTGCACCATCTTGCACCCTCCTTCACCCTCGGCACACGCATGTGGCGCCACGAGCCTGGAGCCGCGCATGGAGCACCCTCCGCAGCGTCTCCGCCTCCGCCAGGGAGAGCAACACAAAGCTGCGGCCCTCATCGCGAGTGCGGAAGCGAGCGTCCAAAAGGAGTCGCACCATGTCCTGCAGAGCGGGAAATGGCTGTCCCTCGCGCGGCCAAACCAATGGACCCTGTCGCTCGCGCGAAAAAAATATGTGTTCGCTTGAAGTGTGAGAATATGATTCTCCAATGTCCAGCGAAGCATTGATTGGGGAGAAATATTCTATATATAGGGAGGTCTTCCTCCTCTTTGGGATCAACTTGGTATCTGTCAACCTCGTCTTAAACGTTCAGAGGCTCGGCAGATCCTGCCGCACTCCACAGCCTGTGACTGTGCGACAGGGCCGTTTTGACGGCTTTGGCCAAGCTGACATCGAGGTCGACAGAGACCAGGCCAGCGTGGGAGGTTGTCCACCATGTGAGTAGCCCACATTGGGCAAAATCAGGTGCAAGATAGGTCAGTATATACCACACTTGCTGCAAGTTGCTGCAAAACGATCAAACAGAGTGGTTAAATCGAGCTGAACATCCAATCACTGCACCTCCGATTTCATCTGAGTGGTTTGGGCAAAGTGAGACTTCGCTCTCCAAAAAAGCAGGACTTGAACTTCCCTATCATAATGAACATGCTGAGCGCCACACTGTTGAAGACCCATCTTTACCCCTACAGGAAGGTGCTTTTTTCCACAGCCTGTGATCTGTATTTTTTGCTCCTATCACTCAAACCCAAATGCTGGAACACAACACCACCGCCCCGGCCCCCCCAAAAAAGAATATAAGAAAACTTTGCCCCATATGCATACAACTCCCCACCTCGTAGTTCACCTTCTCTTCCACCTGCCGCCGGTCATCTTGGGCAACGGTCAGATGCTCCGCGCAAGTGACCATCAACTGATCCACCCACGACCCGTCTAGACCGCTTTTCCAACGAAGTTGGTTTTTTGTTTCTCTCAAAGCAGCCAGGCATTGCTTCAAAAAGCAAAAGACTGGACCCAGCTAGGAACTGCTGGAGGGCAAACTTGCCTGCAGACTCCTGATCTGAAACACTTTGGCTCAATTTGTTCTCCCTCCTCATCCCATCTAGATCCCATGTACTCAACCATCCAATCCTCCCCTCCCACCGGTGGACCCGAAAGTCCCATCAGCACCCTTTTCACAACACCATCCCCACCGATCTCCATCCAGAAAGCTCGAAATCCAACCCCACACCCCCATCATCCCCATCATCATCCCATCATCATCTCCATCATCATCCCATCCATCCCATCCATGCCATGGGGTGTGTTTCCATTCCCCATTCCCATGCCATCGATCGCCTTTCGGCCCAAATAGGCCAAAGCAGCGCCCGGATCGCGCAGCGCGGGGTCCCAATCGAAGGAGGCGGCCAGGAGCTCCATCAAGCGCTCGGAGCCCAGCTCGCCCGGCGGAGGTGGCAGCTTCTCCGGTTTCTTCCCGTGCCTGGAGCTGAAGGGGGCTGAGATGGAACATGGGAAACCGGCGACAACAAGGAAGGGGGGGAGTGAAGAGGGGTTTTGAGGGTCTAGTCTTGGGATGGGAGGGTTTCAGATTCCAAATTTTGAGCTGGGGTTTTGGGATTGATCGCGTGGTGTTGGTGGTGTTGAGTTAAAACCCAAGCAATCCTGTCCTGATTACCACGTTTAGACAATCAAGCTCAAAAGGTGTTGCTGCCCAGCCACCCAGTGCTTGTTGTTGACTCCAGCACCTGTGTAGCTCTAGGAAGTTCGATGCCCTCGCCACGCATCAGTAAATCCCAAGCGGTGCGAAGTTTCTTGTGCATCTCCAGCTCCTGAAGTCTCATCAACAAAACGATGCTTAGCCCCCTTTCATGTAGACTCTTGATTGATAGAAACATGCGGGCTGAAGAAAACATCCCAGAGTCGCAGTTTTTTTGACTCACAAAAATCAGAGTCCACACATTGCTATAACTCGTGTGCTCTATACCAGGACCCTCCAGTCGGGGTGCCCTGTCTGGAAGCCGAACGGCCGGTAGTGTGGGGTAGTCCAGCTAGGACACCCCGAAAACGGAGGGTCCAGGCGGTCCAGGTATTGTGCTCTATATAACGTTATATACCGTTGTCCAAAGTTCGGATCAAGATCTGCCTCTGATTTTTCCCTCCATCGATGTGGGGGCGGGGTGGAGGCGAACGAAGACGGCGGTTGTGGAGGACCCGACTCAGTAGACTTCGCCACGACCACGACGACGCCGCGCCAGTTTCGACACCGCCAAACCCGTTCCATCTTCGACCACGAACCGGCAAAGAAAATGAATTCGATGGAGGCGTTTGGCAGGCCAATCGCAAAACACAAACACAATCCAATTTATACCCGAGGTTTTGATTGAGACCCTACAAATTTATAGGGTTTGGTTGCGTAGGGTATACAAAAATACCACAAAAACCCTTCAATGGAGAACATAGACCAATCGACTCTACGACGGCTGGTGGCTGACATGAAGACGACGGTTGGCCGTCGCAGTACTGGTGACCTGTTGGCCGTGGGGTGCCGGGACCAATCAGCCGGCCTTGTACAACCCCAAACACTCCATGTATACCAGGACCTTCCAAGCCCGGTGGTTTTTGGACACCCCTTCACCACTCTATAAGAAGCTAGAAAATAGACACCTCAGAAGGAAGCTCCTGGTATATGCCGCCTGACCTCTGAAACATTCTGAAACCACTCCGTATGTAAACCAAACCCATGGACCTGTGGTGGGTACCACACCCGACCCACGTCGGTCGTTCCCCACACCACGACCCACGGGCCGTTCGCCGGTCGGGCGACCGCGCTCCTCCAGCTGATCCAACTGCAAGGGCTCTTTGCAGCGGACGGCTTTGCCTGGGCACCGAAGGGGACCGGAACGGACCGGGAACGGCGGTTTTTCCGTGAGGGAAATCCCCAACACCAGACTTAGTCCACCCTCCAAATGCTCGGAAGTTAGAGGTATGTTGAAGTTGAATCATTATGCTTTGAATGCAAATATAACATGTTTCATACATTGACATGCTGTTCTCTTCTGTTTGCAAACAAGAGTCCATCCAATTGGATGGAGACTGCTCATGACTACAGACCCGGACTTCCAAACCTTTGTGGTCAATCTTCATCCCAAACATGTTGCGATTCATGTGGGTGTGTAGCTCAAAGCGAGCCAGCTAAGGAGACCGAAATAGACCACACAGTCTACCCAGCCAGGGGCTATCGGAGGTCTCCTCAAAGTACGCGAGCTCATATTCACATGGTGACTATAGCTCTTCCTTTCTCCACGGAATCTTGCCCAACCAATGACCTCCCCTCTCCACCCAGACTCTCTCATCGACCCCAAGCAACTGATCCTGTCGGGCAACGACCTCCCTCCCTCGGGACCCCTTCCCTCCGAAGAGCCCATGTCCGGCACCCACTCCATCTGCACGAAGACGTTCTTCACGCGACGAAAGCCTCGGTCGGGTCGTCACGACCGGTGATGTCCGGGCGCGGAGTACGGAGACCACGGGGGAGAAAAGGGGGGGTCACAGACGAGGAGCATCGGTGATGTTCATCCTTAGGGGAAGCTGACCGGTGTGGAGATGTTTTGTTGGAGCCCACCATTTGGTATCATTGATGTCACTGCAAGAGATGTACATCCAGTCTGTTGACCACCATTCCTGACATGGACCCACGATTTCAGCAACGGATCATGATACAGGACGCCTGTGATTGGATACTCACTGGCTTATTTTGACTTCACTCCACCCACCCGGGGTTTCGGCGAGCAGCAGTCAAACCCTGCCTTCAGTTGTTGCACTTGGTCCAAGACTTCCTCAACTACACCCATTTTTGGAGATCTGACTCGGCAAGGCTCCATGTTCCAGCTCCTTGACACCCCAAAATTCAACACCACCAGCGCTGGGATGTCATTGCTGACGAAGCTGAACATCTTGATTCTCTTCAACCGTCTTCAAACTATAGTGCCTTTCCTATCTGTATACCACTTGTCTACTCACTTAATATAATACGTTCAGTTCTATTTCTCCAAGATCTTCTTCTTGATCGGAAAATCAAGCTGTTGAAAAATCCAGCTGTTGCCAGCACAAGGTGCTGCTTATAAACACATCCTGTGGGTCCAGTTTCCTGAATTCGGAGCTTTTTCCAATCTCGAGCCGTTGACGCCTCCAAGTCACCGCTCCATTGGGGATTAAACCAATTCGTGGAGATCCGGGCTTCGCCAGGCCTCGGTTTTTTTCAGGCGCACACGCCACCGAAACTCGGACTCACCGAGGGTTTCGAAAGGGCGCGGAAGTTTCAGACACAAAACGTACGAGGAGTCACAAAGGGGTGTGCAAATTTGAGGATAGGGGTCCCCATGATCCACAGACTTGACCAAAAACCAGCCCTTTGTGACTCCTGGTATTATTGACTATTGAAATTGATGTTCAAGGTCCTTTTTGGGGAAGGATCCAGGTTGGGGTTCAAAACCATGTCTTTCTCTATGCAAAGAAAGTTTGAGCTCAACCACGAAGAAAGCATCACTTGAATCCTCACTTCAAAACTTGTAGCACATCGTTCGAACATCATGAAAGACAAACGGCAAACACAAAAAAGCAACCGGTTGGGACATAAATCTCGCAAATGGAAGGCGACAGTTCTCTAACCAGCAACCGGTTCAGCTTGGTATCAAAAAAAACAAGTCCCACCATGTGCGACCTTTGGAATTCCCCGTCGAGTGTTTTAGCATGGTCCGTTGGATGGAAACGCCAGCAACTGACTTTCCAATCGAATTCCGGGGCAACCTGAAGTCACCTCGGCAGCTCTCCCCAACATGTTGAAGTCATCGACCAGTCATGGACCGCTCAATACAGCAGGGCGCCAGTCCATACAGCAGGGCCGAATCCACCAGCGTCCTGAGACATAATCCATTCGAACCTGAAAACCCCGTCCCAACCAGAAACGCACATGATTTGTCATTGATCCTTGTGGTTTAAGTGCGTACTGAGTACCACATGATTGATCACTTTAACATAACTAAGTGGTACTAAGTACTATATAGGTGTCGATTCAGCCCAAGCCAAGGGTCCCAAGCCTCGGGTCGCTCTCAGAGCTGATGTCGCTCTCATCCGAGAGGCAAATTCTCCAAAGGTCTGCGCTTCCAAAGCTTAAAGCGCTGGGCCTCATAGAACTGCTTCGCCTTCTCCTCGACCATGGATGGAGAGTAGATAGCCAGATAGCACAAACCCCAAGTTTGGTGGTTTATTTAGTGGACCGAAACCCTCCGAAAGATCGAACAGGGACAAACCGTGCCATCTGCCATCTGAAACCACCTCTTGGGGGGGCTGTGGACGCGGTCGACCCCGATCTTCGGAGGGCGTTCGGCGCGTTTTCGGCGGTGCGTTCCCCAGGTGCGACCGGTGTTTGGGCTGGTGTTGGGGACCAATCAAAGACATCTATTCAATGTGTACAGTACTCCACCGATCCTTTCGAAGCTCCGACCAGTATCTACCAGGCACCACAAAAAAAGACCATCATATGATCTAACACAATCCAAAGCGATGTCACTTCTACCAGCACCACGGATTCCGGGTGTCTATTAATCGCCTCCATTAACCACCCCTTTGGGGGTCCTGGTATAGACTCCCAGCATCGAAAAGATTCATCCTTCACATGATGTGAAGGCCTCCTCGAAACACCGAACCGCGTCTCCGTCTTGACCAACGTATCCTAATTGGAGTCCACTGAACCCGGTCCCACCGGTGGGCCGCGGGCCAACCAGTCCTCAGAGGCCAAGGTCACCAGAGGCCAACTCTCTGGCTCCTCGTCGTCGCGGCAGTGCATCAAATCCACAAACCTTTCGACGAGGAAGCCGACGCACAAACCGGGTTTCGGGGTTCGGGGGGGGCCGACGCGGAGGCCGAGTTGTGCGCGAAAGGGGCGAAGGTACTTAGTGTTGGTGGGTGGAGAAACAATGAGAAGAGTTTAGAGGTGGAGATCTGTGCCAGACACGAGAAATTCAAGACTGTAGAGCTGTCTTTTGCCTGAAAGAAAGGATCTGATCTCATGGATGTGGAGGCTTTCATTTGACGCTTTGCACGACTTGACCGGTCCCCAAGTCGCAGCATGCGACCTATACATATATCACCGTACGTGTCCTTTTTCATCCAATCCAGCGCCCTCCACAACCAGCGAGTTTGTGTCGTTTCGTCGCCCTCCAAAGTGGAAAGTCAGCCCGGGCATTTGACGTCTTTTCTTTTACAGATCACTCAAATTGACCCCGAAAAAGGACACTCCAACAGCTATGGCGCCATGGCAGTCCCACAATGGCAGGGCTATATATGGAGTCTCTGGGCTGTTTTTGTTTCAACGAGTGCGAGTCAGGTGGGGTCGTCCTGCAAGTGGCTTTGGGGGCAAACATCCAACGTCCCTCCTTTCGTTTGAAGGGTGATGAAGATGACAATGAAGAGACATATTATGAATTTGGATGTGTTCTGTTGATCGCCGGTGTAATCACAATGAGTATCAACACTTAGAACACACTTGTGTTGTGAAAAAAAAAAAAACTTCAGAAAATGACTCTCCTGGGTTCAAAAAAGCTCCGTACGATGCCTATGACTCCTCTCCTGGGTTCAGCCCACCCTTTGAATCCTTCCCCCTTTGCCCAGCAGCTTCTCTATCTCGATCTCCTGCTCCTTCTCCTCCTCTTGCTCCTGGGAAACGCGGCTTGTTCAACTACCTCCAAGTGCATTGGTTTTGTTCACCTCTGTTCCAAAGCAGTTCCAATCTGTTCCAATCATGAGAAAATGCCTTCGATGGGAATTCCGACCTCCATGGGAC